TATCGCTAGACTGAAGAATTGGAAGTATCCAAAATTAGGATTATACGTTTAAACTTGTAGTTAACGTGGAATATTCAGAAAATTGATGGGTCAGAGGTGTACAAATTCTAGGATTATAGGAATGTATGAATGAAGATAAAAATTGCCGCACAGGGAATATTTTCTCTGGGCTTTGTTTGATGGCACCTTGATTATCTTCTGAAGCATCATGTAGGAAATACAATGCATTTGAGAAAAATTTGGTTCCGTGAGTATATATACAACGCTGCATTCTGTTTACGCATCTTACAATCACATTAATTTCGGTGTATTATCATTCCGTCAGCCGCTTTAACTCAGTTTGTTTCAGGCTCTAATTTTATTGAAAAAATAAAATTCATAATTTTAAGTCAAATATTCAAAATCGTTCTAGAAGGTTGTGCTTCCGTTCTTTCCAATATGAGCTTAGGCCTTAAACCATTCTAAATTGTATCCAGAATTATGGAATTTTATATCAAGTGGAAGAAGATATTCTGTATATCATGCAAAAAAAAATAATAAAAACTGTCTTTATTCTCGTAGTTGAAGAAATAAGTGTAAGTGTCTTTAAGTTAACATAATAATGTTAATAGACAATATTGTATAAATGATGAGATTGTACAGTCGTTAAAATAAATTTGTTGTCTCGCAAAATTCGTTTTACTGTTATCGTTGTTACAATAAATCCCGTAATTCCTTCGTTATTGCATTCGGAATGGTCAACATTCGTTGCAACAATTAACGAAAATGGTTATCATTAGCAAAATACATGTACATGCAAATTCTTACGCTTCGATTGAGATCTAACACAATAGCCATAATAGACTTCGCGATAATTAATGTCCCATACCACGTAATAATATCCTTCGCAATAAATAATCTTCTCACCATGTAATTATAGTTATCATAACACTCGTAATACATGTAATAAAATACATGTATTTGGAATTAAATTTCATTAATTAAAAAATGCACATATTAAATTACATTAGAATGACAACATTAATATACTTTTTAGGTGATAGTTTCTGAAATATAAATCAATAAATGAAATTGTATATGTACATGGCGCTTCAAATTACATGTATTTTCTATATACAGGTAAGAAATAACGATATATACCATGTATCAGGTAAAGATACAAGCATCGGGCAACAAATATATACATATACTTGCATGTATCGTATGGGAGAATTTACCCATAATTCGCTTATCGTACGACTTAGTACATGTACATGTACATTAACGATAGATACTTATACATGTACTGTATATTCAAGAGACTTCCCCAAAAATCCAATCACTGAAAAACTTATATCTTGTAAAATGGGATGTTGTGGCTCTAGATGTTATTTTGAAGAGGAAGATGGTGCTATTAAATACCGTCTTATCCATGGTAGACGATATTATGATCTTTCAGATTCAAAGTATTTTATCGCAAATGATGTTGAAGAAGTCTTTCGTTTAAGTAGATACAGTGACTCATGGAATAAATGGAACACGAAAAGTTTAACGAAAAAAATATTCTAGTGCCTCTAACGTCGATTAAATGTACTTGATTTCTATGCTTATTTTAAAGCTATCAATCTAGAGAATGACTTAAGAAAGTCTAAAAAATATATTAATGTTGCCATTCTAAAGAAATTGAGCATCTACTTAAATAATGAAATTATAACTCCAAATAGTTTTGTTATCAGAGAGGATTGAAGCAGATTGACCTAATAAAAAATGTGCTTCCTAATGAGAACTATCTACATACCAAATACTGTTATCAAATTCGTTAAGCTATTAGATCCCGAAGTGCAGAACAAAGCTAGCAAAAAAATCGATTATTTTTACTAGCATTTATCTGTACTTCGGGATCTAATAGATAAACGAATTTGATAACAGTTTTTGCTGAAAATTGGTATGTAGATAGTTCTCATTAGGAAGTACTTTTTTATTAGGTCAATCTGTTTCAATCCTCTTGATAACAAACTATTTGGAGTCATAATTTCATTAATTATGTAAACATACAATTTCTTTAGAACGACAACCTTAATATATTTTTTAGGTTTCTTAAGTTATTCTCTAGATTGTTAGCTTTAAAATAAGTATAGGAACCGGGTACATTTAATCGATGTTAGAGGAACTAGAATTTTTTTTGTTAAACTTTTCGTTTTCCATTTATTCCATGAGTCACTGTATCATGATGGTAAAAAATTGCTTTTAATTCGTGTCTCATATTAGAATACCTTAGAATTTTAAAAAGTTATATGACAGTATATAAATTTTAATAATGAAAGATATTTGGAGAGTGCTGTTTAATTCACCGGTTGAAGAGAGATTAAGAAAAAAATTCATGTTGTTGATATTGGGTATGTATTGGCTTACGAACAATGAATTTTAAATATGTTACTACTTGTATCTCAAAAAGATGCGGATCTGGAATTTGAATTTTGGTAAATAGATTTTATTATATAATTAGATATGGTAAAAGAAGCAAATTTTATTTAGGGTTGGCATCTGGATCAGGCCAAGCAAATATCTTGGATTCAGTCCTAAGTTGTCTAAAATATCCGAACATCCAAAAAATATTTCCAAACTATATATCATTATAACACTTGATACTTGGACTAATTTTGCCGATGAACATTTGAATTTGCGTTTATCCAAGTTTCCAAAAATTTAAAAGCTAACCCTGGCCATTTTAAATCAACAAATTAATCTATAAAAAAAGGATATGGCATAACAAATCATTAAGGAATAGACATACAGTATCTCCAATACTTCAACAGAAAATCTTTCCAGAAATGTGAGGCTTTTGCAACATAATGTGTTAAATGGATTACCATTTGAAAATCATCCTTCGATTTTGTTCACGAAAAATTCATGACTGTTGCTTTTACAGAAACACAATGGGAAGAGAAAGTTATTCCAGAAAAGATAAGGTTAGGGATGGATCGAGGTACTAGAAGCTGATATTATTACATCTGATGGAATTGTTACATCGAGAGTTGCAAAAGCTGGTAAGTAACGCAATACTTTATATCATTAATTAAATAATGAGCTTTATTTAATATGTATTTTTAGTTCATAATTTTATGATATCGAGGGGATTGAACCCTATAATTGGAAAAGAAATTCTACGCATTTTTAAAAATACAAATGTGTTTCTTGAAATCAGAAATCAACTTAAAATTGTAGATCTTGTAAAAAACATGGTGTATTTGCAGAAGAGGTAAATATGTGCCTAATGACTTATTTACAAAATATAATAATATGCGCTTTCTCTAACATAATATTCTCCTCTATTTACTTCATTCAAAGTCTCTAAAATTTTATATTGGTAGTCTCAAGTCTTCTAAAGCGAACTCGATGAATTTAATACCCGAACATTTTGATGCTCTTATAGAAACAATATTAATTGAGACAGAAAAATATTCTACTTATTTAATCAATATCGGATCTGTTCTCATAAGTTTTAAATTTAATAATTTGCATATATCTTTACAAAATATATTATTAATTTTTAAACTATGACAAAAATATAGCAGTTATGTAAAGTATTAGCCAGTAACAAGGGAAAGAAGTGGATTTCAGCAATTATAATTATTAAGAGATTATCATTTATTTTTGCTCAAATTAAGATAATTTTAAATTGATAATAAGAAACTTCATTAAGTTTTTGTATTATTAAATTTTTTATGATATTTAAAACTCATTTTATAATATAAATAATTGAATTGAGTTGTGTTATATAATTCTTTAATCCATCTTTAATTTTTGCTGGTGATTATATTGGTTTTACAATTAATTATAGAGATATTTGTAAATATCTGGAATTTGTTATAAATCACAGATGAATCATTTATTTTAACTATATATTTTTAAAATTTAAGAGACATATAAGATATTATAATCTAATATAATGACTGGAATTGAAGAAATTAATTTTACTACAATAATAATAAATAAGTGATTTACAGAAAGTTTAGTTACATTTAAAAATTATATTGTAATTAATTATAATTTTATAAATTCCTATATATAGAAATTTATAATTCGAAATTTACAAGTTATAATCTGGTAATACTTTCATAATAATTAAGATGAAATTTTGTTCTAATAATATCATTATTTTGTAGTTTGTACTAGTATTATTATAAATAGAAATATTTTTATATCTATTTTATTTCATATTTATTCGCATTATCCCATTATTTTTATATTAATTTTATATTATTATATTTATTTTTTTTATTTATTAATTTATTAAAATATAATTACTTATCTTTTTTTCTATTACTATACTATTATATGAAATTCTTAAATGTCGCTTTATATTTTTTATTTATTTCTGATGCTTTTTAAATAAAGTCATTAGATTATTAAAAATAAAAAAGATTAGATAATGCAATGAATTATTAAAAATAAACGAATATAAATAAATATATCTAAGATTATATATATTATTATTATTTAATAATAAAATTTTCAGTTAAATACAAGTTAAAAAATAAATTTTATATGCTAAAATTTTTGAATGCAGAATTTATTAATATTTGAAATGAACTTTAATTAATAAAAATTTAAATATATCCTAACTCTAACTCAATAAAGCAATTAATTTAAATCAAAATTACACAAAATTTTACTAACAAGTTTTTATTTATTAATTAAATAAAAAATAATTAACATAACTAACTATATATAAAAACTTCATTATTAACAAATAAAATAAGTATTATATGATAATAATATTTGTAAAATAAAAAGAAGTTTTCCAGGCAAATTTTCTTTAAAATGATCTGCTGATTAAGGGCTGGATTATTTATAATAAAAAGAACTTCTCAGTTCATAATTTTTACAAACTTTATTTTATTAAAGGAGATTTTCACGTCATAATCGTATAGAATAAGATTAATACATGTAAAATTTAAAGCAGGAAAACTACCGCCAATATCAAAAAGAGCATAGAATTCAACAAATAGAAAATGAATTCACAACCTCGAGAGCTAAAATAAAAAAAAACAATTAGATTAATTAAATCTAAAATATTCGTTTATTACTTTCATAACGATAACACTCGTATTCAGAAATTCTAATGTTTTATTTACGTACGAATTTTTTTGTGGAGGCGATAATATTTTCTCAGGATCTGGAAATACTCCGACATTCTGCCAATCTAGTACTTCTAGTTGGTCTTTTGTTAATGGTTTTACTTCCCCAGTGGCGGTGATACGAGCTGTAGAAATCGAATTTTCGGCATCGGGAAAAGTTTCCGCTTTGAATTTGTTGTCTGTCACGCGATGGATAAATTCGGCAGCGTGCTTGTATGATATTTTTGCAGATTCGTGAAAGAACCATACCTAATTAAATTTTTTGTTTTTTTGTTAATATTGTTTTTACTAAATCGAAAAATAAAATAAATAGATTCACCTGCCAAACGTGTGGCATCTCCTCATAAACTTCTAGTTTTACATTTGTAGGCTTTTTGAGAGAAGTTGATTTTTCATTATTCGTATCATTGTATTCAGGTAATTGATATTCCTTAACATGTGAGGCTTTGTGTGCAAAGTAAATTGATTCGTCACGTAATCTTTCGCCATTTCCTGCTTGCTGTTAAATACGAAGAAAAAATCAATTATTGACTACAATGACAAATACACAAATAACTTACCAGTAATAACGGTGATAATCCACTTAAATCTTCAGCCAACAACGGACTAACATACGGAATCGCCAAAGCTTCATTAGCAGCATACGTATGAATTCGTCTTTCTGCCATTTTATAACAAGGGTGACAATGTATTTTCGGATTCAACTCTTTAAAGCTTTTAATTTTTGCCTCCAACGCCATAGCACGAACCTCATATTTTTCCTTAAGAGGCGATGGTTTATGTGTGAGAAAATATCCAGGAAGATAATCGCTCGATTCACACTCCTTTTTCGTTACAGATGGCATACTGAATGTTAAGTCCAGCCAGGGCGAAAATCCGATAACACCGGCTGGCATTGGTAGGCCGGCATCACGTATTGCGAGCAATAACGCAATCGCGAGGCCGCCACCTGCACTATCACCAGCGAAAACTATTTGATTTGGTTTGAAGGGTTTATATTCGGAGTTTGCGGGTGGGTCTAAAAGATACAAGTATGCAGCTAATGCATCGTGAACAGCAGATGGGAATTCTGTCTGTGGAGCCATACGATAATCGATCGCTATTTTGTTACATTAAGGAAAAAATAATTTTAATATACACAAACATTAAATATAATGATGACTTAAACAATATTTACACATACCTAGTATTCGAGCACCTGAAGCTTGTGCGAGTCGATAAGTAATACCCCTGACTGATGCAGAGCTGCATAAATAATAAGCGCCGCCATGCAAATAAAGAACGACTCGCTGTCTCGTTCTTTCATCAAAGAATTTATCCCCCTTAATTGAGACCCATTCAGCTTTTAATCCGTCATTGTCGAGAAATTTCCACGACTCATCGATAACTTGTTCATACGGTGCTAGTATTTTCTCTAAGTGCGTCTGCGCTTTTGCTCTGTACATGCCTGGAAGCATGAATTCATTGATACGAACATATGACGGAATTAGATTTGGTTTGCCTGTAAAATCTTGCATTACTTCGATTGTTACTTCCGATGAATCATCAAAAAGTGTTTTTATTAATTTGAAAAATAGATGAAATTTTAGGTCCCATGATGGTTGTGGCGGACCATTGCGGTAGTGCGTAATTACTGTTTCTGCGAGTAATGGGGCTCGCCATAAGATTTCTTTCGCTATGTGTGACATTTTTTGTTATTTAATATTGAATTGGAAGAACACCTATCATGAAAGTATAAACCAACTTTTATGTTTTATATTAACTACGTTCGGAGATGGAAAATATTTGAACCACCATATTTATAATATTGGAACATTTTCAACTTTAATGCTTTTTCGATAGATTCGTGCATTTTATCCGGTAGGTCACTTTACATGTGAAATTTTCTTGGTAAAATTCTATAATAACTTAATGGGAATTTTCATTTTAACGTTAAGGTTTTTGTGAGTTTCTTATTAACGTTTTTAAACACAATTCATTATTTACTTTAATCTTAATCATGTAATTGCAAATCATTGTTATTTTTTAACGTTAATGATATCGATATCGGATGCAACCAAAGTTGTCACGATTTAACGTTAGCGTTAGTTAAAAAAATAACATGAGAAATCGGAACTCTGACCAATTTAGGTTAATCACATTCGGAAATATGTCTATACATGTATATGATTATCATTAAAGTGCCAACGAATTCACATTATGTTTAATAATAAAGATTTACTTATTTGTACAAGTGATGACAACTACTACATGTATTAAGGTTATACATGTGCAGATAGGGAGGTTTATATGTAAAACCACCTTTCTGACATTTTTACATGTACATGTAGTACCAAGATAGTTTCCTATACTTTTCAACATTAGTTTTTCCGGACTGATAAAAAATTATCCGGGATATCCATTTTGGACTTGCACAAATAAGTGCATTTATATGCTGAATTCGTATGGTAGATAAATAATAATGTTGGCTGAAGAATTTTATCTAATTTAAAATACTAAATAGACAATAAAAATGTTATATTGAGCTTGATTTTCACATGCGCTACGGAGACGGTTTAGGATTGTTAAATGTAAAGTCGTTAGATCGAGGACCTTAGATTCATCAATTGTCCTTTCTGCAGAGTTCCACCCATCTTCTTAATGTCTTTTTTACTAAGTAACTTTATGCATGGCGTATGGGTGTTCTACGATATCGATATTACTTTGCTGACAATAAAATTAAAGCTGCTAAATTCTGTTCCAAATTTCCATCTATTGCAATCCTTCATGGGATTAAGTTCCAAAAATTTATATAAAAAATTTTAACTTTAATTGTTACCATTCTTTTCATCGAATACTATTACAATTTAAGCAAGAATGAAAGGCAGTAGAATTATTTTAGATATCACGAGATGTTTGTTATTAGATTATACTTAAAAATACTAAACTTTTATAGTTCTGTTATTACATGTGCATGTATTACGGAATCAATATCTTTAACCTGTAGTCAAAAGAAGCATGTGTATAAAGTTCAATAGAACATTATTGTTATATATATTATAAATAGAATATATCAATATGTATATTATCTTATCAAAAGGGATTACGTACTTGAAATGGGCAAATAACTGTTGACCCATATTTTCATTCACGTATTTAAACAAAATTTTTTGATTTAATGAAAATTATTGTAATATTAAAAATATGTATTAAACAAATTAAACAACGCTACCGTACAGCATTATATACAGTATGTGGTATTACTTATCTTAATTTAAACCTGAATAATATCCGGGCTTTTTCAAGAGTCGGTATATAACAAAAATATAATGATATTATATTTTCTCTTCGTGCTCATAATCTATCAATATATCTTTAGCATCTATCTAATTATTGATTTTTAAATACACGATTCAAATATAATATCTGGTTCTACGCGTAATACCTATGGAGGAATATTCAGTTAAAATAGTTTAAGTTTTGAATAAGACCATGGATACAGTGCTGTATAGTAATGTTGATATTCGAACTTGCCAATATAATGTAAAATTTTTAATAATGCTGTAATGTCTATACATGAGTTTTAATAATAAGAAAATATTATATACCTTCGGTTTCCATATCATTTATAATTTTTCATTAATTTTACATGTAAAATATTGAATTTTAATTTAGAAATTATTGTTATATTTTTTAATAATTTAACGCAATTTAAACATTTTAGCAAAGTTTAGATATTTGAATTACAACTAAATTTAAAATATATTCCAGCTGCTGTTGCCCAAATGGTAAATAAATTGCACATAAGTCTATTAATAGAGTATTAATCACTTGTGTTGTTGCATTTTAATTACAAGAGTAGATTTTACTCAATAATTACGTGAAATCATAAATTTCTGTAGGTTCAGATCAAAAATTTTTTTGGAGTTCTAAAGCAATTTGTACGCTAATCGACTAAAGGTATGATTTAAGCGAGGTCCCTAAATATTCTAATGAATTGGTTTCAGCTAACCAAAAACTATTAAAATCGAAGACTTATTGCTGCAACCTGTACAATAACCAATTAACTAAATAAAAATCGATGCATCATGATTTATTGCTACGACTTATAAAACAATAATCAAGATTCAAAAGAGCTTTTTCAGAAAATCAGGAGTTTAACGGGACTTATCGCTAAGAAACTACAATTATAATCATGACTTATTTATAATGGAGTTCGTCCATACCTGTAATCAAGCTTTGATGACTATCTAATCAAAGATAATAATAAACAAATAGAGTATTTAAATCTCAATTTATCTTTAATTATAAATTTGTGCATGCGAGCTTATTAATATTAAGGAGCCATTAATATAGATTTTAGTTTTCTTTGTCTACAATTAGCTTTTTCTGCACTTTTTTTAAACTTTGATATTGTCAAATTTTGATATTGTCAAATTTTGACAATGTCAAAGTAAAAAATGTTTAACTATTTCTAAAAAGAATTCCTTGTCATTACCAAAATCACAAGGACATTGATCATTATTATTTGCAATAATAATTAAAAAGTTATAATGTGACATGATTAATTAAAAGTTTGATAATAATGTCGAAATCACAAAGAATTCTGGATTAAGAGTTCGAAGTTATAACAACAACAGTATAGTCTTGGCTTACTTCACATCCTTATATTTCTTCTAATGCATTAAGCAATAAATTAATTACCGTATTTTCGCGAGATAACGCCCACCTGCGCGCTATTTCGAGTACGCACATGTGTTTTATTTCAAAAAAAAAAGGTTGATTTTTTGTTTAAAGACTTTCATAATTGATAAGTTACAGGAAAAGATTGGTTTAGCATTATTATATGTACATAAATATCGAATTTATAAGTTCTGTATATCTATACATCATGCATGTATAGGGTGTGCGTTGTTCGGGACGTCATGGGCAATACATGTATCTCGAAACATTATGTTATTTTTAAAAGGTAAGATTTTCGAAATACATGTAATGCCCATGAACGTTATTTCGCTAAAATACGGTAATGAAATTAAGAATTTTCGGTAAAATGACGTTTCTTCATACAAATTATCGCCATTTGCAGTTTCTGAATTTGTTTCATACATCGCTTTACTGAATACACGTTTATTGCAGAATAAAGCGGAAGAATACATTCCTACGGAAATTTTCTTTTATTAAGATGATTGATACCGTTATTCCTGTTAAAAGATAATTCAAATCTATAAATACGCATGTGTTGTTTTTAACATGACCAGCAGTGCTCAACTATTTATCATAATTATTAAAATTGTTATCAGCTTTTATCAAAAATCACAATTACTATTTAGTGACGTCAGTAACCGGAGTCTTCTTATAATGGTCTAAATGGGCTGGTTCAATGCGGCTGTTGTAAAAAATCATATTATATTTTTCAGTTAAGCAATTTGACTATATTAACATAAACATTCAATAATATATAACCTTATAAATTATTTTATGGTACTTTATCAACTCAACCGGAATATTTTATTGTAGCCAGATTACTTATGATAATTACAATAATAAGCTTGAAAGTTCTATAGGGAGTAGAAAAAATCAACTAGCCAAGAAAATAAAAATTTTACCAAATATTTGTCATTGTCTTGTATCAACCCTATATCTTGAATGAATTCCTCATACTTACAATTACCTTTGTTATCACATTACGATTCAAATTTTTGTATCGCATCCCAGATCTGATCTTGATTATGAATCATAGATAATTTCTCAGCCGCAATTTATTACAAAGTCAATCATATGAATATCAATTGCCGCTATCCCATTTATGACAAACAATACACATACCTCATGTGCATGTATTATCATTATTGAAGTGATACTAAGAGCCAACGACACCAGTAAATAAATCGAACTCTTTAAACTTAGTCAAAAAGTACAAGTAAATTGAGTTGCCAGCCAAGAACATAATCGAAAAGGAACATAATCGAAACCAAAAGCAACAAAGTCCTTAAACTTGGCATCGATATGTTCAGATTGATCATATGTAATATTGTCTGAAACCTCCTAATACATATACAAGCGAAAATGGTCACCATGTACCAGATTTTCGGCGGCATAAATAAATGTGGTATGCGAACATTATTTTCTGATAAATGTATGCTGTTCTATATGTTAAACATATTATATTGAAGCATGAATTAAAGCGTAAATTCTTGGTTGAAGAAAAGTTATACCAATAGGTGTACATGTATTTCGCGCACTTATTACAAAATTTTTATTTCCGTGCATACACTATTTGTGCATATAATACTAAATTTTCGTTTAATTTGATGAAAATTAACAACGGAACTTGAATGGATATTAACGTTAACCAGAAAAAAATGGTTTCCCGAATGTAAAGCAATTTTCATAATTGCAATGCCAATAATATACGTGGCTTCGGGCAGAAGCGACAATTTAAGTTCTCACATTCTAGCACTAAAATACATGTACATGTATTTGGGTTCTACTTTCAAATAGAATGAATGACAAAAAAATGTCAGCTTATCTGAGAGAAGTTGTATGGAGAATCCCATTGCTCACACAAACAGTAATTATCCACTACCATCATGGCCTATCACAACCATTATGAGACCTAAAATTCCATCTACTTTTCGCGATAATGAAATCTATGATTCATGATCCAGCAGGATCAACGGTTGCAAGAGCTTTCAAGTGAACCAAGCCCTACACCATCGTGCGTTCGTATCGAGAAATTCAACTTGCAACCATTTACAGAACAAAAGCGAGGCCTCATTTAGAGAAATTACTAGCACCGTATAAACAAAGTTATCGATGAGTCGTGAGAAATCTCTCGATGATGATGGATTGAAAGCAGAATGGGTTTCGATTAAGGGTGATCAATTCTTTAATGAAGGAACGAGACAACGTGTTGTTCTTTATTTACATGGTGGCGCTTTTTATTTGTGTAATGCTGCATCGGTTATGGGTATTACTTATAGACTTGCACAATTTTCAAGTGCTTAAATCCTTGGTATGTATAAATACAGTAAGATTTGTATCAATATTTCCATATCGATATGTGTCCATATCTAATACATGTGATTACAAATAGCAATCGATTATCGTACAGCTCCAAAGCGGAATTCTCACGATACATTAGCTGCATACTTGAACCTTTTGGACCTGCCCACATACTCCGAATACAAACCCTTCAAACCAAACCAAATAGTTTTCGCTGGTGATAGTGCAGGTGGCGGCCTCACGTTTGCGACATTGCTCGCTTTACGTGATGCCGGTCTACCGATACCAGTCGGTGTTAACGTCCTGGCTCGGCTTAACATTCAGCATGCCATCTGTAATTGAAAAGCGAATGTGACTCGAGCGATTATATTCCTGGATATTTGTATGCGCATCAACTATCACCCCTTATGGAACAATACGAAATTCGTTCGGCGGTGTTGGATGCAAAAATTAAAAGCTTTAAAGAGTTGAATCTGAAAATACATTGCCATCTAGTTATAGAATGGTAAAAGAACGAATTCATATGTATGCTTCTAATGAAGCTTTGGCGATTCCGTATGTTAGTCCGTTGTTCGCTGAAGACTTAAGTGGATTACCACCGTTATTATCGTTATTGATAAGTTATCTGTATATTTGTCATTTAATCAATAATTTATAAACTTTTTCTTCGCATCAAACGGCAAACATGAAATGATGAAAGATTATGTGACGAAGTAATTTACTTTGCACACAAAAGCTTCACACTTTACGAAATATCAATTATACAAATACAATAATGTGAATAATAAAAAATCGAAAATACCTACAAATGTAAAACTAGAAGTTTCGACGATATGCAACACTCTTGGCAGGTGATTCTATTAATATTTTTTTCTATTAAGTGAAAACTAATACATGCAATAACAAAAAATAAACTATCTAATTATGGTTCTTTAGTAGGCCTGTCGATTTATTTGTCGTGAACAGACGTAAATTTCAAAACGGAAATGTTTCGCGAAACCGAAAACTCAATTAGTACTGCTCGAATAACTGTCATTGGTGAAGAAAACCGTTGACCAAAGACCAATTAGAAATGTTGAATTGGTAGAATACTACCAAAGACTGATTATGAACGCCGATAAAAATATCGTAAGCAAATAAAAATATATATTTTTAAAATGTAAATGAATCGATGCCAACAGTATTTTTTGCTTTTTGTTTTGGAATTCGATATTGATTTTTATATTTGATTTTCTTTGGATACGATTTTGAAACATAATAGTTGTATAAAGATTAGTATTCGAAGGAATTTTAAATCTCGCTTTAGTAAATTTAAAGAATTTAAAAAAGTAGCTAAAATAAATATACTTTCAACAACAAGTTGAATCAAATACAAGAATCCATGAGTAAATCTCTTTTGTAATAGAGCATGCTTAAATAATATAGTTTTTGTACTTTTGCTGTTACTATTAGAGATAACGTGGTATGTAAACATATCGATTCATTAATGCTTTCAAATTTTGCGTTTGATTATTTCATCTTATATCGGATTAAGTTCCCATTTTCTTTAACGTTATTTAATGTCATGGTTACTTTAATAACCGGAAATAAGAGTTATCAAATACAGAAATTTATCTTGAGTTTTTAAACATATAGGTTTAGCGCGGAATAATTATTTACAACCAAAATATTGCATTTACAACAAATTATCTTCTATCTGATGCGATATAGAGATGCCAAATTACTTTGTAGTCATTATGAAATTATTCTGACTAACTTGAACACTATAAAGAGGTTTCATTATAAATAAGTATCGTTATAGGGAGTTGATGTAATAGCAGATACATTTGGTTTAACAAAAGCATCCACTATTTTGTTGATTTTGACTTCTTGATAATGTACTTCGGGACATTAGCCAACGTTTCATTTGAAAGAATCTGCAAAGTTATTTCCTATACGACTTGATATTCTGGTGTTTTTATTAGACGCATCAACTGATCCAGAGTCACCTAACGACTTTAACAATATCTTTGTGACCAGGACTTATTACGAGATTGAACAGTATGGAATAAAGGTACCATTTGTTAATTGAACAATTGTTTCATTTTGCACTGTTCCTAAGTACAGATAAAAGCAGGAAAATTGCAAATATAGCTTTTTAAAACACATTTTAGGTTTTCTGTTTTGTTTAATATTTGTAATTATTGACATTGATAAGTTTATAAAAAATAGATGAGGTAAAGATTATACATGTAATAAAAAAACAATGCCTTGTTTTCCATATACATACAAAAAAGCTAACCAGTAATAATTATAAGGAATCGAAACATTCACAAGTCGGAAGTTAACTTCGTGCAAAATTAACAATAAAGATCATCTAGAATAGATAATAAATGTACCGGACAGTGTTGGAAATTCAAATTTTTGCGAACATATAATGTTCACGTGAAAATAAATAATGTTCACAAATGTGAACATATATTTTATAAGTCATGAAGTTATGCTAAATAAAACTTTATTTATCATTAAATATAAAAATTTAGCTATTGAATTTACGTGAAGTACTTGCCCAATTATCATCATTCTACTATGGCATTAGAAAGTATAAGTGTGAGAATAAAACAATACTTTTGTCTGAATCAGGATAAAGAATAGAAATCAGAGTTTTACAATATAATTCTTTTCATGCATTAAAAAATTTGAGAGACCAAAATTTTTAAGAATTATATTAATCAAAATAAATATTTTGATTTAAATAATAATTTTGTCAAATATATTTACATATTTTCCATGCCATAATATTTTGCAATAATAAAAATTTGTTATTCTTACAATCAAAGATTTTTTTGGCATATTTTGAGAATCAAAAATACAAAATGCATCCAAAATTTCACAATCAGGAAATCATTTATAAAGATTTTCAATTACAGCAATGGCAAATTGTCTTATAAAATAGAAATATGACTTTAAGAAGATCTTCTGCTTGAAGGTAAGCATATAAGACATACCAGAAATCTGTGCCAGGTTTTGTTGATCATTAGTCAGATGTGATGTCTAATCATCAGTTCAGATTATTAGTCGCACTAAATTTTATATATATGTATTTATTAATCAATCATTTTTCAAAATAAAATTAAACATGAGAAATGATAAGTGTTCATTAAGATCATATTGAATAATGTATTATTTGTGAAGTTAAGAATGTTTAAAGTGCCACTTAATATCATATTCTTGTCAAGAAATATTATTATAATAACTCACTCAACACACTTCAAGCCAAAATAAGGGAATTCCATCAATATACTTCAAGTCAAAGTAAGCAAATCTCATAATAACTCACTCAATATACAAGTTCAAGCTAAATTAAGCAAATTTGCAATAAACAAGACATTATCTAATTTTATCGTAGCTATATTTTCACTAAACTATAATTATTTTTCTTTTGAAATTCAATAACTTTTACTATGTGTTATGGAAGAAGATTTTTTAATTAATAATTTTAAAGTAGATTTTTTTGTGAATATCAATAATATTAAAAATATATAGTAATAGTTTGCTAAATTTGAGAAATTATTAAGAATAATAATATCTAAAACAAAAGATTATCAAGTTATAGAAAAAAAAATTATTTTTCAGGAACTATATCAATATATTTATAGTAATAAAGTAAAATAAAAACAGAAAAATTTTATATCAAAAAGATCTTATTTATCATGAGTCAGAAATACTAAATATACAATGACTATTCATTTTTGACTTGAATATTGACATCTCCAAATAACTTATTTACTTGAAGTTAATATTAAATTTACTTATAATTATGTTATGTATTGTGCAGAATCTCTCAGCTTCCAGTAAGTTAAAGATAATATTTACAATAAAGATATGCAACTATTTCATAATAAATATCACTAGCATTAGTCATATATACTTATAAAGATAATTTGTATTTAAGTGCAAATACTAATCACAAACTTATATAACTTTTGGCTAATTATACATATAATTCTAATTACAACTATATCTCAAACTAATTTAAATAATATCATAATAGAAAACTCAGAAAAAAGAATAATATATTGATTTTTAAAGACTTATAGATAAAATTAGTACTTATAATATCTCTGAATTTGATTATATTACTCTTTAAGTATATGACTCAAGTTCAGAATAAGTTCTTATTTTTTGTATAATGACAAATTTAATATGTTAAATTCATGAAAAAATTTGATAAGTGAAAGAGCTTTATTATATAAATATATTAGCTTTCTTCAAGCTATTAAATATATTAATTATTTTATTTTATATAAGTTATTTAGTAGATATACTATCTCTCAGTCTTTTTATGATATTTAATAAACTAGAAATTACTCTTGAGAAGAAAATAAATATGCTAAAAACTCTTCTTTTATAATATATTTTCTTTGATTATATTCTGATATTGATCTAATAGTCTTTTTAACAGATGATTCAAGTACAAAATGAAATGCATTAGAGATTTATTAGCCAAAATTAATATAATTTCTATATATTTTTCATATTCTTTAAGCATTTTGATATTATTTATATTATGCTAAATACTATATTAATAAAAATCATTATATATCTATTATGAAAATAATAAAGAAAATTTTATATACAAAAATTAAAATTGAAATAATAAAGTATTATCATAATTTAAAAGCTAATTATTATTCTATATATCTATTATTATAAAAATATTTTAAGCTATTTTGAAATTGATAATAATTTTGAGTAATATTATTTCATTTTAATTTTCTTTTACATGATAATAATACAAATAACTATATAAAGTATAGCTTTAGATTACTTAAAGATATTATATTTTTATATACTCAAACATAAAATATCATTCAAGTATTTTACTTTATAATTATAAATATAGATCACTTTTATAAATACTATTTATTAGAAATTACAAATAAATATTCTGGTTATCTTTAAATTGCTAAGCAATTTTTATGTTCAAATTGAGAGATAATTAATATATTAGAAATCTAATAAATAAAAGTATATATTAAATATTTGATTTTAAGTTAATAGAAGAATTTTGAATTATTTTATATTATTAATATAAAAATTAGTATATATACTATTCTATTGGATTATCTGAAACACTATGTAAATATTAAGATGCTGTAGTTATGAAATTTTATATCAGATCATTAAACTTTATTCTATTTTTAACTTCTGATAATTATTTTAATTATATATATATTATATTAATAAGTTCTAGTTACTTTTTTTCTTTTATTTATCTAAATCTAATACTTTTTTTAGAAATTATTTCTGAAAATCTTTCCTTTTATATATTATTATATTCTTAATATAGTAAGTTTAGTTTTTTTATTTTTATTTAACTTAATAATTTTTTAGAAATTATTTTTGAGAATTATTCTTTTTATATACTATATATATATATACTTTATTAATTATAATTTAAATTCAATTATTTCTTATAAAATCTAAAATAAAATCCAAAACTCTCATAATATTATTTAAAAGTTATAATCTAATAAAACAGTTTTGAAAAATAGATATATTTACTTTAAGTTTATTTTTTATTTATTATTTTAATTAACTATTTTTTTAATTAAATTTGATATAGTATATAAAGATAATTTTATATCTTTTGAATTTTTTATTGAGATAATTAAAAATAATCACAAAAATAATAATTTAAATCTTTTTATTATTCTTAATGCTGTAAGTTCACTAAGCAATATAATGCAGCAAAAGCCATATTTAATTCATAATTAGTATCTTTTTTCTATAATATCAATCATGATATTAATTCTTATACTTATATTAAAAGTGATATAAAAATTTATATATATATTGAATTAGTAAAATACTGAAAAATAGCAGGATCTAGTAATATAAAATAAAAACTTTCTGATTATATAAAAAAAGAAAATAGTGATTTATTTGCTAATTTAGCATGAAAAATTCAGAAAGTTAACAAAAAAGAACATAATCTAGATCAAAATATTAATAAAAATTAATTGAATTAATAGATTTATATAATATATTAAATTTTATATTGGCTTCTTATTATTATTATTTGACTATTATCTTATTAAAATAGTTTATTTATAAATAGTAATACTTTAAATATTCTTAATCTCACAAATAATACATTATTTAATATGATCTTAATGAACACTTATCATTTTTTGTGTTTAATTTTACATTAAAAAATAATTAATCAATAAATATATATATACAAAATTTAGTATAGCTAATAATCTGAACTGATAATCAAATATCATATTTGACTATGATTAACAAAATCTGATACAGATTTCTAATATGCACATATAAGTAATAACTTCAAGTTGGCTCAGAATTTTCAGTTCCAATAAAGCTTTTAGCAATCATTTGAATAGTAATTATTATTTGTATTTTAACTTTCATAAGAGAGATATAGTATAATCTACATAAAATGATAATGTTAATTATTATAAATATCTAAGCCAAAAATTTATTGTAAAATAAATGTTTGATCAATTGAGTCATATAATGATTGAACTATTTTGTCCATACAATAGTCAAGTGATAAAGCATTGACTGCTGAATCAAGTATGCAATGTAAATTTGATATAGCTTTGAATAAAAAAAGCCAGCATGTTCTGATAATATATAATAGATACAAATCAGGATCATCCAACCATTTTTCTATTATTTTCAAGATTTATATTTAACCATAAGAGCAGCTGAAATATGCATAACAATTGCTAGTGAGTTTATTGAATTCATGTATATATAGAATATTTTCAGCAGAATCAGTAGCATCTTTATATACAAGAACCAAACAATGTGATAGATAATATATTGCAATAAAGATACCCTATTTTAATAATATAAATTAGATCAGTTCAAAATTTAATAAATATATTAAAATTAAAAAATTAATTGGTTGCTTAATATAACTAATGCTCTATCACTGTCAAAATAACCAATGTTGAGATTGTATGATTTTTAACTTTGAAAAATTCATTCAATTCTTTTATAATGCCATTGGCAATACAATTCGATTTATTTAACAAATTGATATACTGGAATATTAGAAACAACATTTTTAGATAAAATAGCCAAAGATTTTTGTTTTTCATAATAATATTACTTTCATCAATCATCAAATTCCATACTGGTGTTTTTTGAATTTCATGACAAATGCCTCTTCAATAACTCTTCCAATTGCATCAATAATTCTTTTCCTTGCATGATTATTAGCATATGAATCATATTCATTCCACTACTCGTGATATTGAAGGATTTTTTAAAATACTGACTATCAAAGATACATACAATTCATAGCACATTGAATTTGTTGTTCGATAAGATTGTAGAGATCAGTAATTGTATCTGTAGTGTTATTGTGCTAAATTAGTCGATACATATAATCATATTATGAATAACACAAAGTTTATTAGCTCCAAACTGTTTTGTAAAACTGATAAACAGATTTGATTAAGCTTCTGGATGCGTTTTCAGGATTTTCTGATAATCTTCATTTTCAAGATGACGTTTGAGTGATTGTTCTTTAAAATTATCACATCCAGTTACAAATATGTTATTAGTACATTTTGCAGCTTCGCACCACTGATAAACATGAGTTTTTTGTTTTCTTTTTCCTTGTTCTGTAACCAGGGATATGTAATCAGCCAAGTCAGATTGATCTTAAGATTTTCTCATAATAAATGAGGCGATTTAGGCTGGGATTCTTCATTATTATCTAACAGATAATTTGTCTTACTTTCTTCTCCATTTTTATCATATGTTAATTTGTATCACATTTTCACTTGTGCTGCAAAAATAAAAGGATTTGTAGATGTAAGTTGAGCAACTTCTTTATCTTTACGTGACATTTTTAGATAAAAAATCAAGAAAGCATACCAGTATATAATGACGACGAACATGATAACTAATGTTTAGTAATGATTGCAGCGAGGTTGCAAATACGTATATAAGCGTAAAATAACTCCTCGAATACATATGCGTAAATGTTGCAAATATGTTTACCGAGTTGCACACATTTCTTTTAAAATCTAAAAAAATATCAATTACACTTTTGCAATTATTACAAGGAGAATCAAATAAATACTCTACGTACATGATACAGTATCTCGATTGGTTATGCCTGTATGATAAAGTTTCATTGTATACAAAGAATTGTACATGTACATATATTGAGAATATAAAATTTGTCATGTTATACAAGTAATTTGAATCTCATTGAAACGGTTCTAGAGATATTCTTCGTTGCAAGAAACTAATTGCAACTTGCATTCGCCCATGTATTCGCATTATTAAACAAATTTAAATTCTAACTTTCTATTCGCCAAATATTTAGAAGATTATGAATTCCTATTATAGAATTATGTAAAATTCAGATTACAAGATAACTAAACTAATATTGAAACAAGATAATAGCTTAGACAAACTAACATACAGTGCTCCGCAGAAGTATCCGACCCTCCCCCCTCCCAACTTTTCGTAGATCATGTATAATGCACCAAATTTTTCCGAGCACAAAGAACATTACAAATGCTGATCATGATACCTTTTATAGCTTCTATATTGGGTATTGTATATTCATAAATTTTCAGGTCCCAAAAATAATCAGCTATTTCATAACACACATCTCAATATCCAATAATCTAATTTTTGACGTCCAGTGACCCGATTTGAACAAAAATAATATTGTTTATTTGTCTCGATTAGACGAATCAAATGGTCGTATTTTTGTTCAAATCAGGTCACTGGACGTCGAAATATTGCGTCTTAAAGTAGCAGATTCATTTTTTTAACACTAACCAAAATGAATCGGTCAATTTAGGACGTAATATCTTGACGCCCAGTGATCCGATTCGAACAAAAATAATACTATTTAATTCGTCTTGACTAGACAAATCGAATGGTATTATTTTTGTCCGAATCGGATCACTGGAGGTCAAGATACTACGTCCTAAATCGACCGATTCATTTTTTTGGCGATCAATTTCTAATGAAAATTGATCGACAGATATGAATCGTTCAACGTCTAGTGGTCCAATTTGAGCGAAAATACCACCATTCGATTTGCCTAGATTAGGCAAATTGTATGTATTATTTCTCACTCACTAGACATTAAGATATCATGTCCTAATTCGACCGATTTACTGTATTTGGGCATGAAAGTTTATGAACATACCGACCAATCTATAAAAGGTATCATGATCAGCATTTGCAATGCTCGGTATATTACACATGATCTATGGAAAATTAGAAGGGGTCGGATACTTTTGCGGTTGACTGTAAATTAATAAAAATATGTATTTAGAAAAATATGCAATAAGTATATAAATCTTATTATAAGTTCGTTATTGTAAAAAACCTGAAAATATGCATTTAAAGACGTATGGTTGAATTTTAAATTCAATTTAGAAAATTTTAAATTCACAAAAATATAAAATATTTCAGTTGTCACTGTAATTTCCGTATGAAATCCATACAAACATCTTATGATTATTCATATTCAATTAAATTTTCTTTATATAGAACTTTATGCACATATCTACAATTATAAATATAATTTTTATTACTTCATATAATTAATTAGACATATACTGTATTCTAAAAAAAGTTTGCCATGTCATATGTAAATATTACCAAAATAAACTATCCCCATGTTAAGCCCAAATTCGGGTGCAAAAAGTATATGTAAGTTTATCCCGAAATAAGCTACCTTTTTTGCACGATTTATTAAGTTTACGTATACTTTTCGCACTCTGTTTTGAGCTGAAATATGAGTGCAGTTTATTTTCGAATTTCTAAGGTATATTGTTTTTGTTTTTTAAATAAAATAATAAAATACAACTGTAGAAACACTTAAAATTCGTGTAGTTAAAATTATATAAATACTTTAGTATAAAAAACTTTAATCGAAGGATAACTTAATTGAAACAAGCGGGCTATATTATCAGAATGTTATTTT